TCTGTTCAGTTCTCTGAATTTGCCTGCGTTTTGATGCAGATATTCTGTCTAAAGGAATTAAATCAAGYCTTTTATCCTCRTCAATCTCAASTCTAGTTTTTCTTGGTAATGTCAATGGTCCAATTTCACTTTTTGACTTCACAACAAATGTTGATTCAGTCTTTGATGGGGTGAGAGTTGGACATGACTTACTTTCTCTAGTCTTTTCTATTACTTTTCGTTCTTCTCTAGGAATTGGTCCATACATTGTAGGAATATCAGGAAGGTGTTTGTCAGTAAGCCAGTTTTTAAAAGCTATTTGACCTTCATGTTGTCCTTTAATTCTTCTTTCTAGTTTTTGCTTCTCTTCTTCTTGGGCTGTTTCCTTAGCTTTCCTGTCTTCCTCAAGTTTAGCAAGMAGCTCTTTCTCTTTGTCTATTAACCACTGATGTTTGGCTAGTATTCTAGCACAATTTCGGTGACCCCASACACGAGTTAAGTCCATTGGTGTGTTGCCTTCTTTRTCAACACCATCAATKTTTGCACCTGYTTTGATGAGGACTTGTAAACACTTGACATAGCCCTTGATTGCTGCCTGATGTACCACAGTACTTCCATCATGATTTGTGCTGAAAGCAGACATAAAATACATCCATACTTAGATTTATCGGTAGATAGATGTCGAAGAGGAGTCCACAATACAGAGTTGTTTGTAATGTAGCTGAGCCTGTAATTAAAAGTGTCTGTAGATCAGGGCTCGGCTGTTCAAAGCCCGATTAGTGTTAATTGAGTGTTGAAACAGGACTAGCACTAATCAATCTTGAATAACCCAGCCCAGGAGTTCTTGTAACATTATCAACTCATGCATTTAGTCTACTTGACCTTGCGGTCTAATTGTATCCAACTAAAGTATAATATAAAATACTGCAAAATATAAAAATTCAACTCAAATGAAACATAATGTGGTAATTTTCTAATATGAAAGAAAAATCTTTGGAGTTTCTAATAATGTTATGTTCATGCTACAGCCATTAATATTATAATTGGTTATATACTTTCGTGGCAAGAATTTGGGCCAGSTGAATGGGTAAGTATCTTTGTTACTAGGGAGGGGAGGCTAACAATTTACCTTGAGATATCAGCACCCTTCTCCAATAAAAACATAACACATTTCAAAGCCTTTCTCTCATTTGAAGCATTGATAGCCAACATTAGAGGCGTCCAGCCCCTTTCACTAGACAGGTTCACGTCTATTTTGAATTTATCAACAAGAAGTTTAAGACTCTCGAGCTGTCCGTTTAAAGCTGCCAGATGAATTGCTGCCAGACCCTAATGACGACATAACATTTACAATTTGTATTTAGAACTGTTAAAAGGAGAATTATTACTGATCGATATTGATGTCCGATTGCACAAAGGGTGAATAGGTCTATCCATCGGATAAATCCTTATCCAGTGGTTAAAATCCATGTGGATGACTTTGGCCATCCTTTGTAACTTCGTAAACGACTTTCGAACTTTATTCCACAAAGTTACAATTAGCTAAATAATCAAAATAGTTTCAGAAAAGAACTGTTTTAGTTATCGTATGAAAACTTATCACCCACACGATATCAGCTAATTCATAAACTATAAACGAACAAAATGACTTCTGAATGACTTTAAAGTACATATATTTCAAAAGAGAAACACGCAATTTACGAATGCTTCACTCGAAGGTGTTAGAATACTAACTTGCTTTGACGTCTTTAAAGTCTTCCACATACTTTGCTGAAGCCAATTATTATCTCCAATAGACGAAGCCATTAATGCATCATCTTCTATATCAGGTCTATCGTTAGCTAACGATTGCCTTCTTCTTCGTCTTTGAGTTTGAACYCCCATCGTTCCACCACCAGCCGCCATCTTGGATTATAATAATGTATATRGTCCTTTCGTATCCAAGCAACGGAAAGATATACGTGGATTAGTGGACTACGGATCTTGCGTATCTTGTGTTGTTTTGAAGATCAATTCTTATTATTATGCTTTTTTTTATTATCCTTTTATTCACCATTTGCTGAACATTTTTAAAAATGGATTCTGTTTTTAAATTTGAAGAATATAGAATAATAAACATTA